TCTAACTGAAGTGGCAGAGATGAGCCTAATTCTAGCTCTATTTCTTAATTCATGACTGGTTAGAAAGCAAAGAATTTGAAAATTGTCTTTTACTGTACTGTTTGTATGTTTGAATTTTGCATGTATATATAATAGTGCTAAAGCCTTCTGCATTGCCAAAAGATAGTTTTTCCCTAGTAACAGTGTCAATATAGCCTAAGCTTGTAAACACTGCAAAAAACAAGCTGAGGGGAATGCAGACAGATTTCCCATTGCAGACCACAAGAGTCCCAAAATATTTCAAAAAGCCAAAGTAAATAAATGGATCCAATGGGGAGGAAAAAAAAAAAAAGTAATTCTAGTTACTTGTTTCTAGTTCTTAGCTTAATAAATACTGAGGATGTTTGCTGAAGGATACAGAAAGGTAGTACTGTCCTACTGTCAGACACAACAGAACAAGGAAAGTCTTCAGTAGAGTTTAGTATGTCCTATCTGGCATCACGTTGCTTTTGCACATTATCCTGCCAGTTCAATGCATATAACAAAAGAATTCAAACTCTCTACAAAGAAAGTAATCTGGTTTTGTATTAAATTAAATTACAGCACTTATTTTGAGTCTGGGCTAAATTAGGAGTACATGTCATTAATGCTCATAAAAGCCTTCCTATTCCTTTTGGAACTCCTGTTATTTTGCATGATAGTCATGATTGTACAACTTTGTTCTCCTCCAAGTTACATGGTACTGTGATAAAACCAATTCTGTGTTCTCTCTGTGAAGAAGATAGATCATGACGTGTCATCTGTGGATGACAAACCCCCTCAGCAGACAGGCCTGCCTCCATCTGCTTGGAATTAAAGAGCAGTCTATGCCTGCTCCTGTATGTTCTAAATTGTTTGCTTCCTCCTTAATGTCTAACAGTCATGTCAAAATTAGTAGGCCAAAATATTTGGTTTTCAGTTACCTTCAGAGACATTTCCCCCATTTGGAAGACAGGACACATGCAAATTCTGTTTGTGTATGTGTGCAAACAAATATTAGCACTTACACATACATACTTAGCACAGAGTCGTGCTGTTCCACAGCCAAAAACTGCTCTATATTTTCCTATCAACATTTATGCTCAAGAACTCTTAAGAAAGTTTATTATACAAAAGATCCATAAAATTGCATTTGACATCTGAATTGAGGAAGGGATTTCCAGTGAGTAGTGAATCCAGAACACTTGTAACTCTTCTGCCAGTTATATACAGTCACTCCCAAATATTCCACAAACATTACTTTCTAAACAAAAAATCATACAGTTTCAAACCATGCCATTATATAGAAGTCATATTGTCCTGAAAGAGAACTAGTAAATCATCTTTTTCACACCTTTCCCCAGCAGTTTGTGATAATAAAATATGAGTGATTCAAACCCTAACACTTACAGGCACCAACAGCTTAATTATTTAACAGTTCTTGGACTGCTGATATTTCCAGCCTGTGGAACCAGCACAGACCTAGGGAGTTCTGTTACAGAAAACAGATTATTAAATAATGAAATACAGCCTTTCAAAAGCCTCTGAGATGTTTACCTTTAGGAATAAGACCAGCATTAAGAGATTTCTAATAAAATATTGAATGAATTAAGGGACTTCTTTTCTCTGTATGGAGAGGTTACATTTAAATCCCTTCGCTATGTAGCAGCCTTAGGCAACACAACCTGACTTCATGTCCCGTTGCCTTGAAAAACATGAAGAAGTCAGGTTTTTCCACATGAAAGGCAGGCAGGACTCTTCCTTCTACTCTATTCTTGTTCTATAGGCTCCCTAAGTGACTAGGGCTGTAGTGATTGAACTGAAAACCCCAGAAAGACTTTGCCTGACTTTCAGTGGATTTTAAGCATATCTGAGTTTATTTTCTGACACTGAAGCTATAGCAAAGCCTACTTTTGTTTGTGAAGCTCATAACAGAGGCAGTTTTATGCCACGTCAAGCTGGACAAAAGCAAAAGGCCCTGGCCACCAGTGAGCACAAAAAAGATTAAAGACCTGGGGACTCTTTTTTTTTTTTTTTTTTAAAGTCAGTCAGCATTGATTGCTCCTCTGAGTCTCTAAAAGCTCTCTTTGAGAACTGAAGAGAAAAATAACAGAAATTTTGCAGGTATGCTCCTATAATATTCCCTCTTCAAATGATACTTTCCAGAAATCCTTCTAATGGTAAGAAACTGAGCTTTATAGAAATTAGGCTTTATAAAACAGCAGCATCACAAAGTGCAATAATTTCTTCGTCACAGCCATTGTAAATATCAGACTCTAGGGTATGCATCTTCTATTATCACAGCTTCAACCAAATACGTGATTCTCTCCCTGACCCACTCTCACCAAATACTGGCAGCCAGCTCCTGTCACTGCACCTTTTCCCAACACACAAGAAAGTATTTGGCTGGTATAGCTGTGTGATAAGGCCTTAAAGAGTATATGTACACTTCCAGGTGCAGGCTGTCAAACACCAGCTCTGCTCTCCCTGCCTCCTCCCCAGCTCCTGAAAAGCAAGCTAAGTTTGGCTGGGAAGCTGGTAAGTGCCTGAGTGATAATGATTGTGATAGCAATGGGTGACACTACTGGAATCTTCTGTGATGATGACGCAGAATAATATGCCTCACCATAATGCAAGTATTGCAGTATTTAAAAGAAAATATTAAGTGCAAAAGGATTTTGGTATCTGCAGCTTTTCCTTCTCTTCACAAGTCTCCCGTTAGAGAGAATTTCAGCTCACCGGGAAGGGTTAGAAAGTGATTTGTGTTCTCTCCAGAAGGACTCTGCTGCAGAGATTACACGAAATGTCACTGGGACACCGAGTCCCACTCCATTTCATCTTCTCCCATTGTGTCAGATCCTACACCTCAGCAAAACATACAGACTTCAGGAGGAGAAAGCAGTTCTCCTGAGAACTCAGTGTAGTGTATAAACTGCTCACAATAATTTTCTCTTCTCTTAAATTACTCAGAGAGCAGAAAATATAGCAAAAGGATGACTGACAATCAAAGGCAAAATAGGCTGCTTAGCGTGACAACTTGAACAGTTTCACATCAGGCAACTTGTAAAGAAAAACTCCATGCTCTCAAGCCTGACAGTTACGTACTACTCTGAGGATGTAGAGAGATTTCATTCCTAGATATTTTATTTGGCTAGCAAAGACATTCTGCAGCACTGGTTGTTCTTATTCAAGGGCGTAGATCGGCCTGACCCACATAGTTTTGTTATAAGGCCTGATAGAACAGATTCCATAGTTAAGGATTCAGGTATGGGATTTTGATCTGGTCCTACTCCTTCTGTAGAGTCAAAAATATAAGAGTTTTTAATTATTTCTGGCATGGATCATGAAATGCTTAAACACAGCTTAAAACAGTTTTACACAACAAAACAGGGTTTAATACCTCTCCCTGGTGGTGATTCCATCTACCATTGTTCAGACAGTCTTAGAGTCTGTCTGCATGCTGCAACTGGCTGCAACTCCCATCGTTCCTAACAAGGCTGAATTGAATTTGACACTGACTGAATATTAACTTAAGATGGCTTCCCCAAGAGACAGTGTTATTTTCCTTAAAGGTCCATAGCACATACAAAAAAAGTTAAGACAAAGAACTCAATACATCCTTTTAAGGGAACCTCAGTCTTGGCTAGCATCTAGAGGATAATTCCACTCATCCTAGCTAATCCTTATCTGTGATAGGGGATCATATCAAAAGGACTGAATGCTTCACTGTGATTAAAAGACAGATAACTAGGAAAATGTCAAGGGAATTTTGTGATGGTATCTTTGTTTCCATCTGAACAAAGGAAAGCCAAGAAGACCGTAAGAAAAAAAATTCAGTACCACTAGAGTCTAGATATACATACGACAAAACTTTAAAATCCAAGACTTGTCAGACCAGTCAACTTTCATTTCTGCGGACATTTTGGTCACTGGTCTTTTTCTGAATCTCTAGTCTCTTGTTTTCCCTGTAAGAAGTCATTCCCAATACTTGTTCCTGGTGTCAGAACACAGTTGGTATTCCCACGACACACTCACTCTCAGAGTTTGTCTCCATACTCATCACCTCAGCTGGGAAGCAGATTGTTTGGCATGGGATGTGCTACTTACACCAGGGTCATTAATTCTTAATGTCTGCAGAGCTCTTGATCTTAGTCTTTTAAACAAACTTTTTTTTTTTTTTCCAAAAAAGGAAAGGGAAAAGTGGGTTGCAACATCAATTTCCTTTTTTGATGGCCAACAACAAAGGAACTAACAGGCAACACTCAGTCCTACCCCTACAAATGAAGCAGAGATTACTGAAACACTCCCCGATTCTGTTGCCAAGAGCTGCAAAAATTGCAGTCATCATGTCTGGAGAGTGCAAAGGCTATTTCACGTTCAGTGTAATTTCTTATTCAACTGTTTTTGAAGAAGACATTGTCTTTTTTGAATCTTAGGTAATGGTAGGATACCTAAATACATTTATCTGGGAAAAGTGACATGATATGGATAACTCCTTGGGACTATGTATGCTATTAGTTTTTTAGATACATTCTTTGATGCACTGTACAGAATTAAGCCAGTCTCAAAAGAAGAGGAGACAGAAAAAAAATAGGCTGAATTTTTCTTGCAGCTTACTACAGACAGGCCTTGAAGTAAAGTTTTACTGGAAGGTCTGTTTAAACTAAATAAACTAAATTGAAACTGTTAACTCTCCATGGTTATAAACACAAGTAAAAGAGTACTCTCATAGACCAAATTGAATATAACCGTAATCATTTGTGTTTTCTGAGGATTCAGTCCAATCATTTCCAGAAGGTCACAGGATACGTCTCGGTATAAACATAGCATTCGCTGTCATCAGATCAACAAACTTTCATCTAACACTGGAGGGTGCAGAATGTAGTGGGCCACCAAGGAACATCAAAACATTACTTTCTTTCTCCCAGCATATCAGCATACTAGGTCCATATTGTAATTATCAGAGATAAATCCACAAAGATAAAGCATAACAGAAAACTTACCTAATTATGTAGAAAACACGATTTGTCCATTCATTTGCTGCACCTAGAAAAAAAAGTTTTGGTTTAGAAAATAGTAAGTGATTTTCCAAAAACCTAGATCGCTATTAATATTTTTTGCCATTATTATTTATACCCATTTCAGTTGCTCATGCACAACATTTTAGTTGGTCAGCTTTTCTGATCTAAAGGCATGATTTCCCTCTTTTCTTTTCTATGCAACTCTGATGTCATAAATACCAGTAAGTCTTCTGCAATTAATTTAAAATGCAAGAGGCACTAAGCCGTAATTCACAGCATTTATCTCCAAGAACTGCATAAGCAAATAAAATAAATATATAACTTTATTCTCTTCAATAATCTAGGCAGATATTTTTCATATGTCAGAATCACAGTTACGTGCAGTGAACCTTTGAACAAGGTTCAGTGGATCCAGATACGTCTAATAGCTGGCTAAGTCTACTCCTTTTCAGTATTTATTTCAGACTATAACTGATCAGTTGAATGAGGTTTTTGTTAAATATTTTCAGAGCTCAGTCTTTATCAATACGGTTTAAATTTGTTTAGTTCATACAAGTGGTAACATGACAGATTTTCATGACTTTGTCCAGGCAGTTTTTGAATATCTCCAAGGATGGAGTTCCCACAACCTCCTTCCCAGAGGGGCAACTTCTGCCAGTGCTCAAACAAACTCACAGGAAAAAGTTTCCTGATGTTTAGAGGGAACCTCTTCTGTTCCAGTTTGTGTGCATTGCTTCTTGTTCTGTCACTGGGCCAAAAAGAGCCTGGATCTGTTTTTGTCAGCCTTTCAGTATTTATAGACACTGATGAGAGACCTCCTGAGCCTCCTCTTCTCCAGGCTGAACAGTCCCAACTCTCTCAAGCTCTACCCTAAGATGTAGATATAAGAGATATGATAGGTGTGCCAGCCTCTTTGCCATCTTGGCCCTATTTTGGACTGTCTCTAGGAATGTCCACATCTCTTTTGTACTAGGGAGCTCAGAACTGAACAAAGGTGGATCCACACCAGTGCTCAGTTGAGGGAAAGCATCATCTCCCTTGACCAGCTACCAACATGCATTCTAATGTAGAATCATAGAATCATTTGAGATGGAAGTGACCTTTAAATGTGATCTAGTCCAATCCCCCTGAATGAACCACAGCATTTACAGCAAGATAAGGTTGCTCAGAGCCCCATCCAGCCTGACCTTGAGTGTCTCCAGGGACTGGGCATCCATCATCTCTGAGCAATCTGCTCCAATGCTTCCCTACCCTTACTGTAAAAAACTTTTCCCTAACACCCAGTCTAAATCTCCCCTTGTCTACGACAATAGACCCCGCAAAAGAGTCCACACCCTTCTTTCTTTCTTACAGTCTGTTTAGATACAGAAAGGCAGCTCTCAGGTATCCCCAGAATCTTCTCTTCTCCAGGCTGAACAGCCCCAGCTCCCTCAACCTGTCCTTGCAGGGAAGGTGTTCCATCCCTTGGATCATTTTTTTGGCCCTCATTTGGACCCACTCTAATAGATCTATGCCTTTCCATCAAATCAATAAATACTATGCACCAAATAAATCAGGCAGAAAAATACAGAAAAAAACAACTTCATTGGCAAAATGTGCATTGTTTTCCTCCTTGTAATACAAGCTTGGGCTTCAGTTTTTTTTGCTGACAACTTACACAGCCTACTTTGATTACAACTGATACCAGATGTAGAGCCAGAGTGCAACACCAACAACAATCCACGTAAAATCTACTCAGGGACCAAGCAGTTGTACAAATGGTTAATACTCTATATCCCCTTAAGTGGGATAGCTTTGGACAGCTACTATGCAGAGTTCTTTTGTACTTAAGATAAATTTCCTTGAACTACCCAGGGGCTGAGATTGCACTGCTCTAGCCTGAATCCAGGCTCTAAATAATATGCCTTAGACTACACATTAAAACTTCATTGAAGTTTAATTTATTTTCAAAAGTTAATACCTTGAAACATCTCTTTTCCATCTTCATAATACTTTTAATAACGGTCACCTTTAACATACTACCTTTCCAACTTTTTATGCTTAAAAAGCTGGTACAAAGTAGTCAGCTTACTTCTATTAAATAAATGAGTTTTCCTCCCTTCTAACTGATTTTTAAGCGGTTCTTATTTTTAAATAGCACAGGGCTTTTAGTTCACTCATTTTCTATTCAAATTTTTTAGCAGTATTAGGTAAATAACTGTAGATTTCTTAGTAGACATTTGTTCTATAAATAAGCCTTGTTCCCTGCTGTTCACTGTGTTTTATTAGCAAGAAATAATTGCTCTCAGACTTTTATGGGTCATTACATTTATATGCTCTTAAGACCTCCCCTTGGCCTGACTTACAAAGAGCAAGAAATTAGCCCCACACAGGCTGACATGTGGCTGGTCAAATCTATAGAGAAGTCATGTAGTGATGAAGAGCACACTAATCAAAGATGATAGCAAAATTCAACTGTCCTATATTATAAGGACAACTGATCAATTCATGCTGAATTTCAGGCAGAGTGGGTTCTCCTGCTTTTATCACAGAAAATAAGCAGACTTCATTATAAATAAATGCAAATGTTCAGGGGCTGCTTTCAAAAAAGTTTAAATCAGGTGAGATTTTGTTAAGTCAAAGCTGGCAACCAGGTATATTGGCAGGAAAACGCACTAGGAAATTATCTGCAGGCAATGAACAAGACAATCAACTCTTACTCCTGTTTCCTGCAAGCATGAAGAAATTTTCATTTTCCTAGCCTTTCAGAAATTAGTTGTTAACATGCTAAAACACTAAAAAGCTAGTAAAAGCTACAAAGAAGTTTCTGTGGCGTACTTGAGACTAATCTATAGCACTCAGACCTCTGTTTTTCTGTTTCCCTTTGGTCCAAATATCCTGATTTCTTCTGTCGCTCCAGTTAAACTATTTAGAATTGAACAAAGTCCAAACAAAGGCAAAGGCAAAATACCACAGGACATTAATTACCAGAGAATAAAACATAAAATGATTCCGTGAACTCACTGAAGCGCTCCTACAACAGAATAAACCTTTCCAACTGCTGTTTGAGTTGCCCAGCTGTCCCAGTTTTATTTATTTTTACTTCTGCATAACTTGAGTCCGGGAAGGAAAGACGATGGGAAGAGGAGAAAGTGGTAACTTGTCGTTCACTTGCTGTAGCCAGACTATCAAACATCTCACAGTCTTTATTCCCTTATTTTCCTCCCCAGAAGGAAAACGGACATTTGTTCCCACAGAAATCAAGCTCTGTCCGCATAACCATCTTACCCTGAAGATACTCTCAGAAGCAGTTTGGGATCAGCTGGAAGCTATCACAAAAATTCACCAAACCAGATCAGCCCTGCTTTTGTTACCTTTCTTAGCAGATTTTGCACCTTTAGGGGTTCTCTGTCATCAGGAATATGCAGAACTTCATTTGTGTGAGAACTGGCAGTGTTTAACTATCTTGCTTTTTTTTTTTTTAACCTCCATTCTTTTCATGACAGAAAATACAGGCTTTTAGAGATTTAACTAAAATTTTTGATGATTTAGATGATCATCAGTGTAGAGAGAGACACGTGATGTATATATAATGTTCAGATACTAGTAAAAACTAATACAAATATTGAAAATGTCTCAAAAATGATAAGAGAACAAAACTTATTTCTGACCATTTAATATTATTTGATTTCCTATTGTATATGGGTTCTAAATGCAACCACACATGTAGTTTTTTTACTATGCATTATATTATAAATCTGTATGAATCTTTTTCCCAGACTGATGGACTTAAAACCAATAACGCTGCCAAGAAAAACATTTCACATCCACTGCAGTAAACAAGAGCTTGACAAATGTAGAACTAAGTCATTTACCAGATGTTACTATTTGTCTTAAAAATCTGTCTTTGACTTTTTCTTATTTTCTCTTGACCTTGTAGGCTTCTCCCATACACACTTGATGCAAAAAAACAAATGCAAAACCTTTGAGAGCCAGTTGTTATCCAGCTAAAAAGTTTCTTGAGACCTAATACTTACACCTTCTTAGTGTGTCAACAAAACTGCTCATAGTTAAAACACCATGAACAAATTGCTGTATCATGTTTCTGCCTTTTCTTAAGCCACATAGTTTCATACTGGAAGCTTTTGCAAGATGCTTCCAGGTACTGAACAAATAAACCAAATAAAACCTCAAATAAGAAATGCAGCTAAATTACCTCATTCACAGTCACAGAAAAGGAAGATTAGATGATCCGTGTTTACACAACAATAATACGCTCTTGCTATCATTAGTGAAAGAGTCTGGAACAACACATTTAAATGAATGTAGGCATTTCCATTCCAGACTTTTAAAACCACATTCTCCTTTCTCCTTCTAAATAAACAGGACACTGCTGGTGGTCATAAAGCTACACAGCATTCAGAAATTGTTCCTTCTTGGCTTCCTATTTGTTCACTTGTGTATAAACATTCAGCACAAATTCCTATTGCATCAGCTAAACTTGAGGGTCACATGTAGATCACAGTTTCTCAAATTGTTTCATTGAATTAAGATGTCTTATCCATATCATCAGAGATGGAACTAACACATACTCCCACTGAAAATATTTAGCCTCCAGAAATTTCTAGAAGATTTAAAGTTACAGTTCAGACATCAGATGTATTTTCTTCTCCTGTTTATTCCATGTTAAGCAAGTCATAATAAGCACTTTTTTTTTTTTTCCAGCATTACTTCAAGTTCACCTGGGCTCTGCTTTTGCCAGTTGTGCTTTAGCAGCTTCATGAAAAACATGGGATTTAGCCGAGTACAGCTAGCACTTTTTCCATTATTATACCAATTAATTTCTCCCAAACATCTACGGTAAATGTTTTACAACACAGGAGAACTGAAACAGAAGCAGGAAGCACCTGGAGCTCCAGCTATATATATTTGCAACATTACTAAAAGAACCACCTTTCCTTCCATGGCAAGTGATCCAAAGTTGTGTTTGTGAGGTGGATAGGAGGAAATCTAGCTGAAGACTTTTGCTACTGGTTGAGTGGAAAG